CCTCCCGCCCCCGCCTGATTCAGACGTGCCCCAGCCCCCCCCCGAGAGGCTGGTCAGGAGCCCCCCACATGGCACTGCTGCCCCAGTTTACACTGTTTCTCTTGCCACTGCTGGGCCTGAGCCAGTGTGGGGCTGTCACTGGGCCAGTACTGCATGGACCAGAACTCTGCGTGCAAAATCCAGGTACAGCTGTGTCCCCCCTCCCCGTCCCCCCCAGTGCTGTGAGCATCGGGAGCTGGAGGGGAACGTGGGGGCACCCGATGCTGCCACACACAGTGCCAGCTGGCTCCTGTATCCCAGCGGGGACCAGTCCCCCATGGGCTCAGCATCCCTGTATCCCAGCAGGGACCAGTCCCCCATAGGCTCAGCATCCCTGTATCCCAGCAGGGACCAGTCCCCCATAGGCTCAGCATCCCTGTATCCCAGCAGGGACCAGTCCCCCATGGGCTCAGCATCCCAGTATCCCAGCAGGGACCAGTCCCCCATGGGCTCAGCATCCCAGTATCCCAGCAGGGACTGGTTACCCATAAGTTTAGCATCCCAGTGTGAGGACCAGTTCCCCATCAGTGCAACATCCAGCATCCTGGTGGGGACCAGTCCCCCGCTGACCCCAGCATCCCGGTGGGGACCCGTCAGCCGTTGGCCCTGGCTGTCCTTTAGGTGCTCAGTGATGTCTTTGCCGCCTGCCTGCGGCCACGCCACGTGCCCAGCCTTGCCCTGCAGCCCCCGTGTCCCGTCCCACGCTGTCCCCCTGCCCCCCCACTCAACCTCTGACGTTGCTTCTACAGGGCACGCTCTTGAGAAAACATGGCAAGGGGACAGAGAAGGTAAATAGCCGTGGGCTCCATGTGTGTCCTTGCCCTGTGGCCACACTCGTGGCCCCACACCCGCCTGCTGTGGAGGTCCAGGCTTGTCCATGCTTCCTCTGTCGTGCTGTCTGGATGTGCCGTGGCCTGCGTGGCATGTTGTCGTGTTGAGGTGTGCCGTGGTGTCCGGGACATGCTGCAGGATGGACGCAGTGACCTGTTTCTGTGTGTTGCCCAGGGCAGGGAGCGGGTGTTGTATCATGTTTGGCCCTGGTGGGTGGGTGGGGTGTCCCCTGTCCCCGGGCAGGCATGGGGATGCTGCCCCACAGCGCTCAGCACCCCTCCTGGTGCCTGGCTGGGACAGCGTGGGGATGGGGTGCCCAAGCGCAGGAGACCCAGGGCACAAACCCGTCCCACTGCTGGGGGGGGTCGGTAAGCGGTGACCCCCCGGTTGCTGGGCCATGCTGGGACTGTGCAGGGGCCACGGGGCTGCTGAGATCCCCCGGACCTCGGAGCTCGCTCCCTCTGGTGCCTGGGGGGCCACGGAAAGGCTGGCTTAAAGGGCTTTCTCCAGGCACGTGGGCTCTCCCTCTGCCTGGGTGCTCCCCACCCCTGGGCTGGGGGCCCAGCACAGCCCTCCAGGCTGCTCCCAACCCCCAGCCATAAGGAAGACCCCTGCCCACATCCATCTGGGCAATGCCTGCAGCTCCCCCTGGGTACCCCCTCCTCTCGCAGGGGACACTGGTTCCTGCCCCAGTTTGCTGAGTGTGCTGGGCGAGCTGCTTTCCTCCACTGCTGCTACTTCCCCAGCCCCAAACGAGGTGGGAGCAAGCTTGCCCCAGCCCAGGAAGAGGCCTGGCACGCTTATCACGGGCTCCCCAGCAAGCGTGCGGGGCTGAGCCTTTGCGGGTGTGAACTGGTGCTGAACCAGTGGCACCGGAGGAGAACTGGGCACAACCAGAGGAGAGCACAGGGCTGGAGCCCACACGGGCAGGGGATGTGGGGGGCCCAGACCTGTGGCTGGGCTCTGCTGGGGCCACCAGTAACTGTCCCTTGCTGTTCTCTTCCAGAGCAGGGTGAAGCTGCCCAGTCACACTGAAGTAAGGACATGGCTCTTCTGCTCCCCACTTGGCTCTGGTCCCTCCTCTCACCTCCTCCCCATCCCTTGTCCTGTGCACTGCGGGGTGAGGGGGTCCCAATACAGTGTCCTGTCATGCTCTGTTTGGGTGACACCAGTGTCCCCAGCTCCCAGCCTGTTCCCTGCCTAGGGGAGATGGGGACAGCAAGGGAAGGATTAATGGCACAGAACTTGGGGAGAGGCACAAAGGGTTAATGGGGGGGGTACAAAATGAGGGCATGGCGGGGCCAGACCCCTACAGAAGGTAATGGTAGGTGGGATAGATGCTGGGGTTTCTCAGTGTTGGGAAGGACTGGAGCTACTGGTGCCAGGAGGGGGAAGGAGGTGGGAATTTCTGGCTTTGCCCCACTGGGCCCCAGTTTACCCAGTTGCATGTTGCTCCCCAGAGAAGGGGAGCTCACGCTCAGCCCAGTGAGCGGGTGCCAGAACACAGAGGCGAGTGGGATCTGCCTGTGCTGGGGGGCTGCAGCCGCAGGG